TTGTTTTATCATGCTGTTGGAAATTTCAGAGATACACAGGGGTTCCTGTTCATTGTTTTGCTGGTCTACACGCTGACTGGGTCACCAGGTTATGCTGTCACTCAAGACAAAGAACAGGTAAAATACAAAACGTGGCAATGCAAGTCTTGCTGTTCTGCCTCAAGACTGTCTGCAGCCTGTTCAGAGGAAACTGTGTCTTCAGCTGGAAGGAGCAATTGGGTTCTCTGCTGCCTCTTCAGCCCTGGCTATATCAGCTGAGTCTTTTTGCAATATGAGGGGAGAGCTGATTATGGAAACTAACTTTGAATGTGAAACTTTATTTATAAGGAACTAAACAAAAGCAAAGGCATTTTACACAACAGGTAGTTTTCTGTCATAAGAACGGCTGCAGCTTAACTGAGCCAGATTGAAAAGTAGCATGTGACCATAAGAGATGGGATCCAAACCTTCCTTAAACGGACCCACGGAGGCACTTGACTGTGAAAGTGTGCTACAGCCACTCGGTCCACCTTTGGGCTGTTTGCCAAGCCTGCCTGTCTTCTCAGCTAGTATGTGCCCATTTTTGCCTTAAAGAAATACCCTAAAATGCACTCCAGACCTTCTGTCTGTAATAAGAGGTTATTGATTCAGCTTGTGTATCAGGGATCCGCTTTCACTGAGGCACTGTTGTGTGGCTAGAGCACAAATCTGAGGGATCCAGTGCCTGTGCAGTCTTTCTCACCCTCCCACAGGCCCCGTTTAAGCTTGGGCAAGCTATTTTCCCTGTTCGTGCCCCAGTTTTTTCAATCTATGAAACTAATACAGGATCTTATCGGGCTTTTATGACAATTACTGTAAGATGTGCCCATTGCTTAGAGACTCTTTTACAGAAGTTACCAAAGAGATAAATACTGTAGCTGTTGTTTGTCCTAGTTTCTGCTTCCTTTGAATGGTGAAGATGAAATAACCAAACCTGGATTCCATCACAGAATCCAGATTTCCTGGGCAAAATTTGATTCTCTTGCCTTTCAAGCACACTTAATTATCTCTTTTATCGTGGATGAGACGGTGTAAGGGTGAATTGAATTTATCCTTTGTGATTCTTGCTCCCTTGTCTGCCCTGTTTGTGTAAAGTTTGCACACTCAGCACGGTGGGGCAGAGCCCCTGTTGGGGCGGTTCTGTTGCACTCTGCAGAGTTCCATCAGAGAGGAGACGGACCCATGAGCTTTTTCTCTCCAGTCACTTTATTCAATGACTATTTAATAAAACACAGGAGTACGTTAGCAGGGGCAGAATAGCAGAGGAGAGGCAGTGTCACATACCTCTTAGTCACTTCCACTCTGTTTGCCCAGCCACGAACTGAGGAGTTCGAGCTGGGAATGCAGACATCTAGGTAGGACGTGCCTGTGACGGTGATGTGTGGACCTGCATTTCTGCTCTTGAGAAGTAGGCAGCCCCTCTGAACATGGGCATTTGCCGCCTTCTGTGACCTTGCCGTACCCCTCAGTGGGACATGTCTGAGTTGAACTCCTGGATGAGTCTCCAGTGGCACCGTCTCATGAGCATGGCAGCGTTTTAGCTCTGAGCAGGAGCAGTGCAGAATGTGAATGTCGCTTTGTGAACCTTAAATTCTCAGTGCTTCATCAGCAGAGCTTCTGTTGAAAGAGACAGCTGTGATAAATCAATAGCTATTAGCAGTCCTTTAATTTTTAAACAAATGTATTTAAGTATTATATATGAATATTGTAGTATTTTTTTTATTTTAAAACTTGAGATGTTTTGATATTACTTGCAAAGTCAAATGAACAAAGCGTTGCTGATCTCCAAAAATCAAAGTCCATTTAGTTGGTGGGAAGCCTGTATATGTTGTATTTTTTTGTGTTTCTGTGCTCTTTGTTTACCCAAAGGTTCTGGCTGTATGAAAAACAAAGACTGAAGCACGGGAGTGGTGCAAGTAATTGACAACGACATTTGAGTTAATGTTGGAAAGGGCTGATTTCCTTTAGATGTCCAGATACTGTCCATTTGCTAATTAAAAAAATAGAATTGCAGTTGCTTCTTTTTCCTTTTTTCCCCGCCCCAAACTGCTTCTCATTCCGAGCCGCTTTAATCAGGTGGGACTGCGGATTGAAAGGTTTCTCGCTATTCCCGATGCAATTGTCTAAAATAAGGGCTGTAGCCCATGGCGTTGGAGAACTTTGTTGAACATGTTGTTACCAGTCCTTCGGGTGGACTCCAAGAAACGCACGCGTGCGTGTGTGCCACCTTTCCTCCCGCAGGTGAGTTGTCGCTGGGGGGTTCTGCACTGATAAACTGCCTGGGTGTGTCGTTCTCTGGTACTGCTGTAATAAGAGGTTGCGAGTCCTTGTAAGTCCACGCGTGGACCATCACGTCAAGAAGTGCTGTCTGCCAGCATTAGGTGGTGGTTCGTTCTGCAGAACTCTGCTAACAGTTGGACTCTTGACATCTGGTTTTATTTTTGCCATTCTGTTCTCTCGCAGCTTCGCTTTGCTGCATTTTCCCCCCTTTTTTCTTCCCCTTTTGCGCGCAGTGTGTTGCAGCAGGCGTACTGTATGGCAGCTCGATGAAGGATGGCTCAAGATGTATTAACACTTGTGGTATCCATGGGCAGGTTATGGTTTCAGGGACTTGCTGGAGGGAGGAACAGGCTTTCTTGGTAAGGGGGTGATTGTAACAGATCACATTTTCCTTTCGTGCGTCTTCTGCAAAAATAGCCGGGCCTCCATTCCTGGTTTTGCCAATCTCCTAACACTTGGTGCCGTGTTGGTGGGCCTTGCTTGCCTCATTCTCCTGAAGCTCTGAATGCCCCTGGGCACTTCTCGCTAGAAAAAAACCTTTGCAAAAGACCATTTACAAATGGTCTTTATGGGGTGAGATCTATTTTTCTGTGCTAAAGATCTGCCAGCAAAATGCCCTTGTGATTGCAGAGCTCATGTCCCATTACAGGGGCCCTTCCTCATTCTGCCTAAAATGTGTGGGCATTGCTCGGTGTTCTCTAACCAGACTAGACCAGGAGATCCTGCTGCTCTGTTAGTAATTTCTGTCTCTGCTGTTTTTTCTCTGCAGCAACAGTGAGAGTTGGGAGTTTTCAAAGCACAGCCACCTCCATCTGCAGAAAAGCATCGGAGCTTGCGAGCAAGGGGAAGAGCG